TTACAGTATGATGAAGGAAAAAGAGGCAAGGGAGCAATTATAATGAGGGATCATGGATTCAGGCAGATAAGGAGGGAAATAAGGATATGAAGTAGGTGAAGGACAGTGAAAATGTCACAGGATCAACAGATTTTAGGTCTCAGAATTATTGAAGATGAGGTACAAGAAGGAATAAGCTAAAATGACAAGAGGTGTTGGTGAGTGTAAGATTCTTGAAATTGAGATTCTAAGGAGTAACCTCGGTAATGACAAGGTCCGGGTTACAACCATGGGTTTGGGGTTGGTATGGTAGGGTAAAGGACAGTATCACAGGAAGAGAAGTAAAAGTAGAAGTGAATAAGAGCACAATGACAGCAGTATTAGAAAGAGTGACAGTGATCCAGAAGCTAAAGTCTTCAAGAAATGAGAATGGATGCTGAGGTTTTATTTTTTTATTTTTTATTTTTTTTTATTTTTATTTTTTTTTTTTTTGAGACAGAGTCTCGCTTTGTTGCCTAGGCTAGAGTGAGTGCCGTGGCGTCAGCCTAGCTCACAGCAACCTCAAACTCCTGGGCTCAAGCGATCCTCCTGCCTCAGCCTCCCGAGTAGCTGGGACTAGAGGCACGAGCCACCATGCCCGGCTGATTTTTATATTATATATATTAGTTGGCCAATTAATTTCTTTCTATTTTTTTTATGGTAGAGACGGGGTCTCGCTCAGGCTGGTTTTGAACTCCTGACCTTGAGCAATCCGCCCGCCTCGGCCTCCCAGAGTGCTAGGATTACAGGCGTGAGCCACCGTGCCCGGCCTGATGCTGAGGTTTTATAAAGTCTATAACAAGGCATAACAGGAGAAAGGTGGGGGGAAGGGTCTGATAGAATAAGAGTTTTATTTTAAAGTGCACAATTCAGTGATTTTTAGTATATTTACAGAGTTGTGTAACCATCACAGTGTTCTCATCTGGGCATGGTATCCCTGAACATTTTCATCACTCCAGAAAGAAACTCATACCATTAACAGTCATATACTCAATTCTCTCCTCCCTCCACACCCTGGCAACCACTAGTCTACTTTGTTTCTGTGAATTTGTCTATTCTGGACATTTCATGTAAATGGAACCATACAATATGTGGCCTTTTTTGTGTCTGACTTCTTTCACTTAGCATTTTTTCAAGACTTGTCCATATTATAGCATGTATCAGTACTACATTCCTTTTTATTATCAAATAATATTTTATTGTATGGATATACTAATTCTGTTTATCCATTTCAACAGTTGATGGGTGTTTGTGTTATTTCCAATTTTTGGCTATTAATAATGCTGCTATGAAAAAAAAAATAATGCTGCTATGAACATTTATGTACAAAGTTGTGTATAGACATATACTTTCAATTTGCAGTGGGAATTTGAAACCAAATTTTGCCTCTTTTATCTACAATAACACTCACTATAAAACTCCATGCTCGGCCGGGCGCTGTGGCTCACGCCTGTATCCTAGCACTCTGGGAGGCCAAGGTGAGAGGACTGCTTGAGCTTAAGAGTTCGAGACCAGCCTGAACAAGAGCGAGACCCTGTCTCTACTAAAAATAGAAAAAATTAGCTGGGGATGGTGGCAGGTGCCTGTAGTCCCAACTACTTGGAAAGCTGAGGCAAGAGAATAGCTTAAACCCAGGAGTTTAAGGTTGCTGTGAGCTGGGCTGACGTCATGGCACTCTAGTCCAGGCAACAAAGTGAGACTCTGTCTCAAAAAAAAAAAAAAAACTCCATGCTCTTAAGCATCTAAACTTTATTCATAGACGAATGGTAACTGATGCTGTCAGTGTTCCTCCTATGTCCCCTTGGATCTCTTTTCCATTTTCTTGTGCACAGATACTCCCAACATCCAGATGTGTCTCCTTTGTTGCAGGGCTGCTCTTGGGCTGTTGGAAAACACTTTGCCTGCTTGAAAAGAAAGCCAAAAAGTGCTTAGAGGCCAGGCCTAGTGGCTCATGCCTATAATCCTAGCACTCTGGGAGGCCAAGGTGAGAGGACTGCTTGAGCTTAAGAGTTCGAGACCAGCCTGAACAAGAGCGAGACCCTGTCTCTACTAAAAATAGAAAAAATTAGCTGGGGATGGTGGCAGGTGCCTGTAGTCCCAACTACTTGGAAAGCTGAGGCAAGAGAATAGCTTAAACCCAGGAGTTTAAGGTTGCTGTGAGCTGGGCTGACGTCATGGCACTCTAGTCCAGGCAACAGAGTAAGACTCTGTCTCAAAAAAAAAAAACAACAACTTAGAAATTTACATCCTCCAGCAGCAGTCCTTAACCAATGACTCATTTCTCTTTGCCCTCATTGAAACAACATTTGGATCGGACCTACACTGCCCCAGATTCCCCATAGGACTCGGCCAAAGTTACTCTTTCTGCATTCCACACAGGGCTTTGCTTGATGTCTCGCCCTTGCTTTGCTTCCTTGTCTTCTGATCTCATACCCCACTATCCTATGGGGGTACTGGGAACACTTCCTCATAAATCATTTTCATGCTGATCTTTGTTTCAGAGTCTGCTTCTGAAACTTATTCCAAGAGCGTCAGCACATTATAAACAGGTCATTAATAGAAGGAAATAGGAATGTTTCTAAAGGCAGGCCCACCTACAACAGTGAGAAATGATAGCTGATAACTATAATAGCAAGGGAGGAATAAGAAATATCATAAAAATCAAACATAAATAATGGAAAAACCACATCAATCTGGATCTTAACTGCCCTTCATAGTCTTCAGTAGTCCCTGATTCTATCCAGAAAAAAGGCATATACATGTATAATGCATCTTGAAAATCTTTGCATCAGATAATATGGGGCATTGACTACACATTTGACAGGTTCCTCACAACACTCCACTAAAATGACAACAAAAAGGGAAAGAAACTATAAATCCATGAAGACAAAAATAGTGATAATAGTGTAAGTTTGGAAAGTGGAAATCTGAGTGCCTGTTGTGAAATTGGGGGTAGGGGGTGGCAGTGCCCAAGGGATGAGTTTATTTGTACTTCAGAGCTCCAATAAAACTCACACAACAGGAGGTACCAAGCATCACTCAAAGCCAGGTACAGATCAGAGCTAAATATGGAAGAATTGGTTAAAAATCTATTTAAGAAACTTTTAGACCTGCTCTACTCCAACAGAAGACTGGTGGTATATTCTCCAGAGCAGTTGAAAGTGAGGAACTATGGACCTGAGTACACTGTGGACAGACACCATGCCCAAATGAGAACAAAGTGCTGTAGGTTTTCAAGGGGATTAACTAAAAGTCTATGTACTAATCTCTGAGGTTTCTAGCTCTCTTCCTTAAGAAGCCAGACTTATTTCCCATCCCCACTCCCACCTGGCCCTGATCCTCCAAAAAGGATAACAGAATCTTCTCCTTGGAAAACCTAGAGAAAAGGACTGTAGATAACTGTGTATGGGGGGGAGCAGATGTCCTTATTTAATCAACCAGACCTCTGTCTAATCACTCTACAGTGAAACTCACAATTTGACAAAGCTCAGGCCATGCACATAGAATGTGTAATTATCTTTTTTAGTACTTCTCTGTCAAATACGAATGGCCAGTCAAAAATAACCAGACATTTGAGAAAAACAGACCAAAGCAAACAGAAAAAAGGAAATTAGAAAACACAAAATAGGGAGAACAACACTTAAACACATTCATATTCTTAGAGAGTTAAGAGATGTTGCATTCTATGAGACAGTAATGAGAGGCTAAAAAACGAAAATTCAGAGAGAAAAGCTTTTGGAAAATAAGAAATGAAAGTAGTAATTTAAAATCCAGCAGCATAATTGGAACATAGCTTTGATGAAATTGCCCAGCATATAGAAAAAAAAGATGAAAAATAGAGGGAAAAAGATAATATTAACCCAGTTGGCCCAACAGTTAACAAGTGGGAGTTCCAGAAAGAACACATAGAGAAAATGGCTGGGTGCAGTGGCGCTCACATCTTTAATCCTAGTACTTTGGGAGTCCAACCAGGAGGATTGCTTGATGCCAGGAGTTCAAGACCAGCCTGGGCAATGGTGAGACCCTATCTCTAAAAAAAAAAAAAAAAAAATTTTTTTTTTTTTTTTTTTTGAGATAGAATCTCATTCTGTTGCCCAGGCTAGTGCCGTGGGGTCAGCCTAGCTCACAGCAACCTCAAACTCCTGGGCTCAAGCGATCTTCCTGCCTCAGCCTCCCAAGTAGCTGGGACTGCAGGCATGTGCCAGCATGCCCGGCTAATTTTTTCTGTATATTTTAGTTGACCAGCTAATTTCTTTCCATTTTTAGTAGAGACAGGGTCTCCCTCTTGCTCAGGCTGGTCTCCAACTCCTGAGCTCAAACAATCCGCCCACCTTGGCTTCCCAGAGTGCTAGGATTACAGGAGTAAGCCACCACCCACGCCTGGCCTTCTCTTTCTTTTTAAATTAAGAAATATGACCTGCCCTTTATTAGTGGATAATCACAGGAGCTGTGAATTTGGTGAGGAGAAAAGAGGGACAAATGGAAAAGATAGAAGAAAACAGGGCTAGGAAACAAAGGAGGACATAAAGAAAGAAGTAAAACAAAAAACCAAAAACTCCATTGCTTCTAAAACAAAACCAAATGTATTTTTTAAAAAATAAGTCACATTCAAGTTCTGATTGTCTGGGTTCTGACATTAGCACATCATACAAGAAGTGGACCTTTCCCTCACTGTCTTTTGTAGGCATTCCTGTATCCAGGGTCTGCTATGCTATAGGATGGGAGAAAAGGGTTATTCTAATACTTCTTTGCAGAGAACCATGACTGGGAATCACAGATAATAAACAGCTTCTGATAAATGGGGTACTTTCTGAAACAATTTTTTCCCCAGGTTGTCCAGATTATCATCTTTAGAAAAAGGTAAAAGTTATATAAAGCAATGTTAAGGTCATTATTAGAAAAGCATGTTATTGAAAAGGGTAGTATCATTTCTATGCATCTATCTCTCTTCATTTCAAAAACAAATATTTTTTTTGTTCCAGCGTTCCTAGAATCCCATGGGCCTTTGCCATGACAGAAGTATGTGGCATGATTCTTTGCTATATTTGGCTCCTGGTTCTTCTTCTTCACAAGCACAGGTACCTCACCTATTCAGTTAAAAGACTGAAAAAGTTTTGACTCTCTTATGTCAAGGTCATCAAACCATGTCTCTCCCTTTGCAGTTTCCTTGTTAATTTCTTTCTCTGGTCAGTGTGATGTTACAGCTATTAACGAAGGAAAATGTTTTGGGTTTGATCAACAAAAGAGTCAGCCTAAGGTAATAGCAGCATGTTTAGTAATACTCTGAATGCATTTTGTAGGCAAAGATCAGAGATGCGGGTGATCAGCCATGGGCCAGCCATTGCCAGTCCAACCTTATCTCTCTTTAGAAACAAACTGGAAATGTCACTTCCTGTAGAAGGATAGAAACTCCTCCAAGGACAGTCTTTGGTCAAGTGTTTAGATGGAAGCAATTGTTCTCTACTTGGCGGAGGCCCATTAAAAAAGAGATTTTTTATATAACATGCACACCTAGTCCGTGTGGTTCACTTTAGGTGGTATAGGATGTTGCTAAATAGGGAAAGTGCTTCTTAGCACTTTCACCAAAAATATAAAGAGAATTTTTTTTAATTAAAAAAAAAGCATAAAGGGGAGCTCCTTGCCTAGTTTGATGGGGGAAATTACTTGATTTAAGTAAAAAAAATAGGCATAGTGAGGAAAAAATTTAAAGATAAAATTTGCAGATATCCGATGTCCATTGTCTTTGCAACACTGCAGAAGAATAAGGGCACTTTCTTGAGTTTTTGATTCTTTGTCCTTACTAGGAAGTGCTTGAGGTAAACCACAGTCAAGGGCTTTAGGTCCTAAGCAGCAGTTATTTCAGTGCTTTGAAGGTGAAAAGAAAGGTTGATGATTGTTATTCTTGTCACACTTTCAGGCCATATTGCACCTCATTCTCTCCCATTTTGTCCTGTTTGACAGCAATATTTTTAATTCTGGGTTGCTCAAAACCAGAGATGGTTTAAGAACATGTATGTTACTATTGCTTTCTGGTTAATTTTGCCTCACAAAAATCCTATAGATTTGAATTTATCTATTCTTCAAAACAGTCTTTTACCTTATAGGAAACCTTGGTATGTTTAGTAAAGCATAGCAGTGGCCAGTTAAATGCAACTGTTAATGCTTACTTAGTCGAAGAAAGTGTTTCTTAAAGTGTTTGTACCACTTGCTTTGAATCACCTGGGTGCTTGTTAAAATGCAATTCCTAAGCTCTGTTCCAGGTGTGCACACTAAAGTTTGAAACATTCCTAGCTTTGTGTTCAGTGCTTTTTTGGGGCAAGGGAGCAGTTAGAAAATGTATAAAGCATAGACCCTGTCGAAACAGAATCTTAGTCTGTTTTGGTTTAACACATTTAAAGAAATAATATGACAGTACAAGTGATGTCACAATATAGTTCATGATTTACCCAAATGATAGTTATTCAAAAATTTTGTTTGATATATTTAATATAAAACTTAATTTTTTAATTTATAAAAGCTTTGTATTTCATAGCTTAAGTTTAAGTTAGGAGAAGTTGCAAGGAATATTAGATAGCTACTATCATTAACCAGTTTTCAGCATTATTAATGAGCAAAAAAACCCTAGAGTCACAGGTGTTTATTTTTACCTTTTATAAATAAATAACTTATGAGTAGCAGGGCTAACTCCAGGCTTACTAGTCTTCTATCTTATATAACTCTTTTATTTTCTCTTAGCCATATGTTCTTATCAGTGAAATAATGCTCTTAGAATCTGACCTTAGGTCTACACTGTTTAATGTGGCACATACTAGCCACATGTGGCTATTTAAATTAACTAAAATAAAATTTAAAATTTGATTTCTCAGTCATACCAGTCACATTTCATGTGCTCAAGAGCCACATGTGGATAGCTTATTGGCCAGTATGTAGAACATTTCCATCGTTGCAGGGAGTTCTATTGGACAGTGATGTTTCACATGGTCTCTAAGATTTCCATCCTCTTCAAAAAGTCTAGTGGTTTTTTTGCTTGCTCTTCCTTTAAGTAAATATTTGATACCTGAGGTTTTGGCTTTGTTTTCCTCTGATCTTTCCCTCTTTTTGGTCGCTGTGTTCACAGGTCAATACTCCTGCGAAGGCTCTGTAGTCTGATGGGCACTGTATTCTTGCTTCGCTGCTTTACCATGTTTGTGACCTCCCTCTCCGTGCCAGGACAGCACCTGCAGTGTACTGGAAAGGTAGCCTGCTACCTTCTTTATCACTCCTTGTTCTTCGTGGGTTGATGGCACAGTATATGTAACAGGGCTAAGGTTTTGCTTTTGGTTTTAAAATGTGCTTTTTGGTATTTGCAATATTTGTAATAAACCTGTAGAAATAATTTGGTAAAAATCTTAAGCCAAAATCTACCTCCTTGTTATTTCTGTCCATTGATAGTTCTATGCTGTGGAGCTGTAGGAAAAAAGTATCTTTCAGTTATCATTTTGCCTTACCTTTTCCCTTTCCTGTCATCCTCAGCATCTTTGAAGTTCCTCATATGGCATGCTGTGGTCCCTTCACTGTCTTCTTCATTCCTTTTTAAAAGATGTTGCAGTTTGACCACACCATATCTCATTTAAAACATAGTATCCAGGCTGGTCCGAAGGTAGTGAGTTATCTCACATGATTGTTCACAGTCAGTTACAGATTGAACTCCTTGTTCTACTACTTTCTCCCCTCCTCACTACTGCACTTGACTAGTCTTTAAAAAAAAAATAAAAAATAAATAAAAACATAGTATCCAGCATTCTAGACTTTACTTTTTCTGTGACACACAAAGTAATGGCTAATTTTTGGTTTTTGTTTTATACTTTATAGCTTGTTGTTTTGGTATACTGCAGATATCTCTTCTGGTTAAACTGAGAAAGGAGAAATTATGTAGATGGGGACAAAAACAGAGGATTATGAATTATTAATACTTTTTAAAAAGGACCCTGAAAATTACCTATACTTTACGTACAAAATTGGCTGTTGTTGTGACTCATTAAATTTGGACAAAAGAGTGTATTATCCTACTTTTCTAGGCCTCTATGCTTTAGTTCTGTGTTCCTGAATGTTCAAATCTATGTGTTAACACCTTTGTTGTTATTTTAATGTTGTTTGTAACAACATTCAAGTTCAGTTCTTAAACTGCAATACAAATAGCTGAAATGCCAACAGGGAAGATTAAGCAGCCAAAGGAGATCAAGAGCTAAAAATGTACTCCTGAGCTGAAGGGTGACAAAACTTTCTCTGGGTATTAGGAATGCTTAGGCTGACCAGTAAGAAAGGGGAAGGGTTAATATGACCAATTAGGATTTCCTATAAAGGAAATGTTTTATTTTTAAGGTAAAAGCTATTTTTTCCTAGAAAGGAAAAGTAATTTTTCTAATTATAAAATTATATAAGCTTCTTGAAAAAATTCAAGTTTTACATAGTAAAAAGTAAAAACTCACATAATTCCCCTTTTTCACCCCACCCTATAACTGTTAACAATTGTATATATAGCCATACAGACCAGGTTTTTGTTTGTTTATTGGTTGCCCAAACTATAGTGCAGTGGCATGATCATAGCTCACTGCAGCCGTGAACTCCTGGGCTCAAGGGATCCTCCTGCCTTGGCCTCCCACGGTGCTGGGATTACAGGCGTGAGCCACCATGCCGAACTACAGACCATTTTTAAGCATGCTTACACCCTCACACATTATATAGATAGATATTTTTTAACAAAACATAGGATTATATTGCAGACGTTCTTTAGCTTATTTTTCACTTAATTGTATGTTTAATTTTATCTGAAGAAATACATATAGCTATATTCATTTTTTTTAAATAACTGCACAATATTCTGTTGTGGATACTAGTCTCCAAATGTACATTTTTGTTGTTTCCAAATTTTACTATTTATAAATAATGCTGTAGTAAACATGCTTATACATTTGTGCTTTTGTATTTATTCAATTATCTCCTTAAGATAAATTATTAGAAGTAAAATTATGGAATTAAAGGACATGCACATTTAAAAATGTGATACATATTGCTAAAATGCCCACTCGAAGAGGTGAGTTTTTCACTACTAACAATGTGTATACATGTCAGTTCTTCCACCCTCTTGCTAGCACTCTCATTCTGATTAGTGAAAGATGGTATCTGATACATTTATGGTCTTATTCTTTGCATTTTATATCTTTAATCTATCTTGAAATTGTTTCTGTACATGGTGTGAACAGTTTCCTCCAAATAGTATGCTAATCGAGTAGGGAGATTTTAAAGAAGAGAAATATAAACCTTTTACACTGAAAAGAGAATTTCCTATAGCTGAGGGATTTAATTGTGGGACAGCCACTGAAGAGAGGGCTATATGTGCATAGGGCTGCAACATATACTACAAAAATAAATTAGATACCATCCCTCTATGGTATGGAAAGCCCCTTTTCTGTCTCTAATGATTATTTTTCATTATCATTTGGTTATATATGAATATTTCTATTCAAATCTGCCCTAAATACTGTTAATTGCTTTGAATTTTAACCTACTTATTGACCCGTATTATTTGCAGTGATCATTAAAAATAGAAAGTTAAGGTGAAAGTAGCAATCAAATCCCTTACAGTCAATTCCATAAGGCATTTTCATTGTAATAAATTAATTGCTTGAAATTGCATTCCCAGAAGTAGGAGGTTTGGGGACAGAACCAAGAACATGCCTGTTTTTTAAAATTTAGAAACACTTAAAGCAAATTTCTACACCTTGTCTTGTCAAAGCATCCTATTCATTCTGCTCTGTTGTATTTCAGTTTTTATTTTTTTTCTGAAAGAATATATGGGACATTTAAGATGGGAATGGATAGGGAGACTTGAGTAATTGAGGAATAATGGCCTTCTTTTGACTGGCATCACTTGTTTCCTATCCTTGGTTGAGACATTTTACTAGCAGTCTCTTTGCTACATGATTTTTTACTTTTCCAAGAGTAACATCTCAGCTGGGCACAGTGCCATGCATCTGTAGGCCCAGATACTCTGGAGGTTGAAGCAGGAGGATTGCTTAAGCTCAGGAGTTCAAGATCACCCTGGACAACATAGTGAGACATCCCTATCTCAAGAAAAGAAAAAAAGTAACATTTCTAACCGTATGTTCATTAAAGATCAAGGAAGAGCCAAACCATGAACATTTGTTTAGTACCTTCTCTTTCCTTTTCTCCAATAATACACTCTTCTCCCGCTCTTTCCCTCAACTGAGACAGAAAGGGAAGGCTGGGGAGTGTGTAATCAGTAGGTGAGGTTTCTAATGAGATTGTGGTATCTAGTAAGGTTGTGTTGTGACTTTTGGTCATTAGCCATGGTAGAATCTTTAAGACGTAGGGCTTTGGAATTGGACTCTTTGGGTTCACATCATACTTACGTTACTTACTAGCTGTGTGACTTCTCTAAGCCAGTTTTCTCATCTGCACAGTTGAATCACTTCATAGGATTGTTGTTGAAATTAAATGCAATAACACATAAAGCACTTAGCAGCATGTCTTGCACATAGTAAATGTACATAAAATGTTAGCAACTTTTTGTGCCATTATTATCGTTATATGTTAAATGCCTTTTTTTAAGTGACTATCCGCACCCCCCCCCTTGCTTTTTCTTAAAGCAACTATCACTCAAACTCTTCCTCAAAATGGATTGCCTTTTTAAGCTTATGTGTAGAGTTAGAATTAGGTTTGGCTGCTGATAACTGGAAATTCAAAGTGGCTGTTGTTTAAGAAGCACCCAGTAGTTTGTTCTCTCTCATAAAAGAAGTCTGCACTCAGTAGGGTAGTTTGCGTTTGTAATCCCAGCTACTGGAGAGGCTGAGGCGGAAGGATCTTTTCAACCTAGGAGTTTGAGGCTGCAGTGAGCTGTGATTGGTCTACTGCATTACAGCCTGGGCAACAGAGCAAGACTCCATCTGCTTTAAAAAAAAAAAAAAAAGTCTTAAAGTAGATACTCCAGGTCTGGTAATATACCTGTGGAGTCATAAAGAAAAACAAACCCCATGATTCTTCTGTTTTTCTGCTTTTTCTGCTCTGTTAGCCTACCACTTGGTTTGCATACTTAAGGCCACTTTGTGATCCAGGATAGCTGCTGGAGTAGGCTAGAAGAAGGAAAGGTGGAAGGGTAGAAAAGACTTCCTCCAAGCCATTGTCTCTTTCCTTTATAAATAGCCTTCCCAGAACTCCTGTATACTTCTTTTTTTTTTTTTTTGAGACAGAGTCTTGCTTTGTTGCCCAGGCTAGAGTGAGTACCTTTGGCGTCAGCCTAGCTCACAGCAACCTCAAACTCCTGGGCTCAAGCAATCCTCCTGCCTCAGCCTCCCAAGTAGCTAGGACTACAGGCATGTGCCACCATGCCTGGCTAATTTTTTCTATATATATTAGTTGGCCAATTAATTTCTTTCTATTTATAGTAGAGACGGGGTCTCACTCTTGCTCAGGCTGGTTTCGAACTCCTGACCTGGAGCAATCCTCCTGCCTCGGCCTCCCAGAGTGTTAGGATTACAGGCGTTAGCCACCGTACCCGGTCCTCCTGTATACTTCTACTTACATCTTACTGTACAGAACTTAGTCACATGGCCACATCTGGCTACAAGGGAGGCTGTGAAATGCAATGTTTTGGTTGAGTTCATTGCTACCTCAATATATTTGAAATTCTGCTACGAGTAAAGAAGGGGAGAATGGATATTGAATGGTAGCCATTGATCTTTGTCATAGCCTATTTGTTATTGGCAAGAACAGCCAAGCAGGCCAGGCGTGGTGGCTCACACCTGTAATCCTAGCACTCTGGGAGGCCGAGGCGGGTGGATCGCTCAAGGTCAGGAGTTTGAGACCAGCCTGAGCAAGAGTGAGACCCTGTCTCTACTGAAAAATAGAAGGAGATTAGCTATACAACTAAAAATATATAGAAAATATAGCCAGGCGTGGGAGCGCATGCCTGTGGTCCCAGCTACTCAGGAGGCTGAGACAGGAGGATCACTTGAGCCCAGGAATTTGAGGTTGCTGTGAGCTAGGCTGATGCCATGGCACTCTACTCAGGGCAACAAGAGTGAAACTCTGTCTCCAAAAAAAAAAAAAGAACAGCCAAGTAAACACTACTGTGATATTGGATTAAAAAGTTGGAGATGTTTTTGTGTTATACTGGTCTTTTTATTGTAAAGGAACGTGTAGTAGAGGAATTTGAATTACAGTGATTTCATTTAATTATCAAACTTTGCCCACCCAGTCTTGAGGGTAGCCTAGATTGAGCACTTGGTTGCTTTGGCTTAGATCTTAGATTTCTAAGTCATTCAGCATTTGAATTTCAATGGGAGTGAATGTTGGGAAGCTCCCATCTCCCTAAGCATTTGAAGCACTAATTCATAGCTTTCTTTATAGATTTATGGCAGTGTATGGGAGAAATTACACCGGGCCTTTGCCATTTGGAGTGGCTTTGGTATGACCCTGACTGGCGTTCACACTTGTGGAGATTACATGTTCAGTGGCCACACAGTCGTCCTAACAATGCTGAATTTCTTTGTCACCGAATGTAAGTATCTCTTGAGTGCTTCTGTGCATATTAGATAACTAGCTTCAGAAGAGGCTGTGGGAAAGGTGTCAAATCCCACTAAGACTAGGCAAAACAGCCTGACCTAAGAAACATGTGACTGAGAAGCATTATAAGAAATGCGGTTTTAAAATGATCTTTCTGTCCTTTTCCTAGATACACCAAGAAGCTGGAATTTCTTGCACACTTTATCCTGGGTTCTCAACCTCTTTGGAATCTTCTTCATCTTGGCTGCCCATGAACATTATTCCATTGATGTGTTTATTGCCTTTTATATCACAACAAGACTCTTTTTGTACTACCATACTCTGGCCAATACCAGAGCATATCAGCAGAGTAGGAGAGCAAGGATTTGGTTTCCCATGTTTTCTTTTTTTGAATGCAATGTTAATGGCACAGTACCTAATGAATATTGTTGGCCATTTTCAAAACCAGCAATAATGAAAAGACTAATTGGATGAAGACTGTATCTTTGTAATGAGTTCATGATTAAATATACAGTAGTTGTTGAAAATGAATAACTTCACTTTTTCTCCCTAGGTTGTTCCTGGATGCCTTGCTTTTTGGCTTAAATGTTGACAAAGTAAAGTTTCCTGTTTGAGCAAGACTATGATTACAAAAAGCAAGAAAGAATATTCAAGAGTCCTTACATAGCTGTTTGAACAGAAAGCTTAAGTAGATGTTTTCTGCCCCTTTTTTTTAGGAAGACTTAATGTTGTGATTGAAGTCAGGCTGTTACTCTTACCTGTTAAGTATTTGCTTATTAAAGTTAAGCAAATCAACTTGAGCAGTTTGCTGGTTGAGGGATTTTTATTGATTTCCAGTAGGACTCTAGTCAAGAAACATTTTTTGAAGCTTGTTATTATCTTCACAAGAAAAAACCCTACCATGTGAGCAATACTTGTTTTTTTAACTACTCTCTGTGTTAGTTTAAAAAATGCAACTCTGGAAAGTGATCTGTTTTATTGACAAATAGTTTTTGCCTTCTGAACCATCTTTATGAAAAGTATACTGAGCATACCAGGATGCCTGGAAAAGAGAAGAATGAAAGGGGCCATACATGAGGTGACAGAGTGTTGATGAACATGCCATCAGCCTCCTCATTAATGCAAATATAGTGCTAGCATCTTTCACCAAAGATGCTAAAAATGATGCAGTGCCTATTTTGTTCTGAGGGTTCAGTATGACCATCAGTAAGTATTCATGGCTGCATCCATAAAAATAAATTGGCTTAATGTTAGTGGTATAGGTACCTGGAACAATTTTGTGTTATAGATGTTAGATGACAGCCCAGTTTTATGCTTTTTAAATGATGTTATTTAATGAGCCAAATAGGAATGTTTTACCAGATGTTAAAGTTCTTATGTCGTTAAGTAGGGAGGTATGCATGCAAAGAATTTTTTCTCCTTCTGAAAAGAAATTTTATAGCAAGTTGCAAGCATAATGTAAATTTTTGGTTTTTGAAATTTCTCATTCTTTGCCATCTGAAGTAAACGGTTTCAGGCATACTTGGATCCAAAAAATTTTGTTGTTTTTTATTTTTAAATATAATTGTGTACATACATTCTTTCTAATCTTAATTTGGCAGTCAGGAAGTGATATAACTTAACTGCTGTTTATAACACTAGAAATTTAATACCTTAATTTCACCTCTGTGATAACATTTGTCACTTTATTTTTAATGATTTTATGTAGTAGTAATGATAGTAGGATGGCTATGGAATTGGCATTTGAACCCCAACTAATGAGCTTAGATACTTAGAATATTAATTGTGTAGTTTTTACATTCCATTTTAAAATAAGGAGTTAGAAAAGGTGCTGGGATACTGAGGTCTGAAATTAGGCCATATAGCAGAAGCTTGCTTCTTCCTTATCTGAGTGAAATATTTTATTTTTGCACTTTGAGTCATATTCCCACCCCAGTATAAGTGATAGAGAAGCCTGAATTAATTGGGTAGGAAAGGAAATTATGCAAACAAGTTTCAGCCAGTGCTGAATGACCCCAATTTGGGTTGGCTCTGAACATTATTTTTTATTTCTCACTTAAAAGTGGCACAAGGCAATTCAAGTTTTATTATGCTTTTAAATCTCACACTTCAGAATCTTATAATAAATTATTGATTCTTTCATATGCTAGGAACAAAAATGCCAACATCTTATCTAAAGAAATATCATAATCATGAAAAGGTGAAGGATGTTTCCTATGCTAGTTAGAATTATTTGAGCCTTGAGATCAAAAGATGTGTTACTATCATTTTTTCCAAATGACAGAACAGGACTGAATTTAGCTAGGGAGGGACTGATGTTGGTTTTTGGAAAAATGTTTTTAAAAAAAAGCCTATGGCAACATTACTTTTAAAATATTAAGCTGGGTATGGTGGCTTGCACCTGTAATCCCAGCTACTTGGGAGGCTGAAGTAGGAGGATCGCTTGAACCCCAGGTGTTCAAGACCAGCCTGAGTGACAAACCAAGACCCTGTCTGCCAAAAAAATGGTATGCCAGGCACAGTAGCACATGCCTATAGGCCCAGCTTCCTGAAGCAAGAGGATCGCTTGAAGCTAGGAGCTGGACACTGTAGTATGCTATTATCACACCTATGAATAGCCACTGTGCTATAGCTTGGACAACATAGCAAGACCCTGTCTCTTAAAAAATATTAAATAGTTATTAACATCAGTTTTCTTTCCTTCATATGGATTCTATTCTAGAACCTAATAGAAAAATAAATGCAACTGACTTTGCAAAGGTATTGACATTGAGAGTACCTAACAACAAGACTGCAATGAGGATTGTAAAATAACTTCACAACCTTGCATTTACTCATATCTATTTTGAGAAAAAGGTAAGCTAGATTTATAATTTATTATTTTAATTATTACAAGGCAGTGTTTACATAAATTAATCATCTCCCAGTCTCTTTCTTGGAAAGCTTTGAGACAAAATTATTTTCAGTTTTTCTTAAACAGGAAACCTATATTTTAGTTGCTTTTTGTTTTGTCCAGAAATTTCCATATTTTTATCTTTATATATATTTTTTCTTATTAAAATTTAAACCATTGTGAAGATAGTATTTGTGTTTACATTTTGGTTGTGAATGTGGCTAGGTAGGGAAGCTACATGCCTTTGGTCTACATATATTTTGACCTTGTATTTGGTTCTACAGTTGCAGGCTTATACAATTGAGACTTTAGCGTAGAAGGAACCAAAAAGTTTTTGGTTTGGGGATGCAAACTGGAGGTTATGTTGCAAGTATTTTCTGTGTTCCTGGGAACACTGTTGCCTTTTTTTCCCCCTTTCATTTTGTTTTTTTTTTTTTTTTTTTTAAAGACCAGGCAGGGTAGTGTTACTGAAGGGTAATTGAAGTTGGTAGAGAGTGAGTTGTTTTGAAAAAATGCAAGTTGGCTGTTATTACCAAATAATTGGGGGAAACCTTTTTTGGCTGTGCTGCAGAATTCTCAACATGGCTATTGTCTCCATAGTTCTCTGTCACCAGAATAGCCAGGGCAAAGATACAACTTTCATATTCTGGCTTATTTTATATCCTTTTAAATCAGAAAGCAATGAGCTTAGCCTTAGAACCAGGCAGTTAAATAAGTTTGGCCTGTTTGCAAGAAAAACCCATTGATTGAGAGACAAAAACCCATTGACTGACAGATCTGCTAGTAGTATAACTCTGACCCTGTAAGTGGTTTTTCCTACCCTATATCTGCCTGAGTGTTATTACTAAGAATCCCAAAAGTTCTACAATTTATAAATTGGGAATGGAGGAGCCAAATCCTTTTATAGCTGATAAGAAACAGTCTGTTTTAGGAAGGTCTGTTTGGAAAGTGTTATTCATTATTCATAAAGTCATATTCATAACACTAAACTGCTTTGCATTCAGCAAACAGTGATTTCACCATTAATTTCATAGTAAGCTTTTAAAAAAAGGATTCTAGATCCAAAATGCTAAAGAATGTTAACCATATTCTTGTTTTAAACTCTCTGATTTAATGAATTTATTTATTTGGTAGTCTTTTTGTAGACTTAGGTTATCCCATACTGAAAATAATTATAGTACAGTCATTTGTCAGTTCTTTGAGGTATTCAGGCATTTGAAACAAGAAAGCTCTCTTGTAGAATAGTCCTTAGGCAAGAATGACAGTGTTAAAAGAAAAAAGAAAAAAAGTAGAATAGTCCAATTGCTTTCTTAAACAGTATTGGTTTCATTTAGACAGTTTCAAAGCCAACAAAGCATGTCAGTTTTAATGCCAACTTTACTTGGCAGTTTAGACAGTTAGTATTTGTTAAAAGGTTAGCCTGAATTACCCCTATACCTCTGTAAAGGAGAATTGTTAGTAACATCAGAGGTCAGAATGTGTCAGGTCACCAAATAGAATGGAAAGACGTCAAGTTGGTTTTTTTGTTTGTTTGTTTCTTCTCTGTGTTTGAGTAGCTCTGAATGACTAGAATTAGTATGGAAGTAGGTTTTGGTCCGCCCCCTCAACTCCCCCAGATTAAATGCCACCAATTTCAAATAACTAAAATGTGACCAATTTTGTATCAGTTTGATACAAATATCTATGAAATCTATAAACCACATTTCGGCTACAATAAGTTGGCTTTTAGAATACATTCTACCATAAATCAAACAAAGGACTTTTTATTCAGTTGCAGCATAAGGAAGGTTTGTGCCTGGTGTGGCAGAAGGAACAGTGTGTTAATTCATTGTTATTTCAGGTCTGTTTCAGTCTGAACTACTGAGCTGTCTGGAGAACTGAACATAGCCAAGTGACATTATCAGTTAGTAATGTCATCTTTGAAATGTTTAATTTTTCATTCAGAGAATGTATGAATTATTACAACAGTGAAGTATTGACATTTCTGATATGGAACAAAGGAAGTGGAAACTGGTATTTAATGGGGGAAGCAAAGCTAGCTTGGACTAAAATGGGCATGTTTTGTTTTGAGAATTCTACCTAAATGTCTCCTTATCCACAGAGGAACTAGTATTATCTGAAGATGTGAAAGTTCCTGTGGTAGCCATACCTTGAAGCACAGTATTGTACATAAGTAAATATCTTGATTCTAAATTAAATCCAGATTTAACTAATATATATTATTTTATATCTTTGTTGTATTAAAATGTTTAAAACACCAAAAATAAAACATTTGAAAGTTGAATTGCAGTTTCTTATTTAAATATCTTTGCATTATTAAGGCAGCTGGTCGGTTTTTTATACAGTGAATTTTAATTTTTGCAAATGATTGAGCTCTGCAACTCTAAATTTGTAGTATCTAGTTCCTTGCACTTACTAATTCATAATTATCCGCTAGATAAGTGACTTAGACATTCCCCTTTCTTTTCTGTAAACTAGGAAAGAAAAGTGAGCTTCCTAAGAATATTAGAATAACTATAGATTAGGAAGTTAAAAGGGAGGGAAGGGAAGCAAATAACTACTTATTTGTTGTTTTGGGTTTATTTAATTGTAGATTATGGTGAACAGTAAAAGGATTGTTAGAGGTAGCCCAGTAGCCCTGAACTGTGGAGTAGTTGGAATGTTAAGCATTGTCACAGGCGCAGGACCATATCAGTGTAATCCATGACTGAACTTCTCTTCCTGATCACTGCTAATGTGTAGCCTCTGTAGTGCTGGCCTAGCTGGTCTGTCTTAGGAACTCTGCAAAAGAATAGTATAGAACAGACCTACAGGGAGGTTGATGGACTAGAAAATCCAATGGATTTAGACTGAGGACCTGGATACGAGTTGCATCTCTGCTGCTGATTAAATTAGGTTTTTCTTCAAGTCTCCAATTAGCCTTGTATATTAAATGGAAAAAAAAAAAGCCCACCTCATAGGTTATATAAAGGGCCAGATTATGAAAGTACTGTAGTCTTGCTGGCTCAATACTGAATACATAATGCTGAAATTTTAGGTGAATAAAATAGGGCCTATGCCCCAGAGAATTAAAATCTAGCTGGAAAATGACATAAAAAGATAGTTAACAACATTCATTGATAGAATAGATCAGTAGTTTTAAAACTGCCTGTCTGAACATCTTTGGAGTAGGGGAAAGGAGGTGGAGCTTTCAGTTCACTTGTACCATTTTCATCCAGAGTTGGAGTTTTATATATTTGGCTTTCCTAGTAGTTGTTCCCTTTGGAAAGGATTGGGATAAGGCAGGATATGTTTGGAAACCACTGAGGCAACAAAGTTACTCTCTTCACCTACTGGTAGCTTGGGAGAAGAAGGGCACACTGCGCACTGGGGGAATTCAAGAGCTCACTAAGCATGTGAAACTTCTACTGAGCTCTCCCTGAAGGGTAAGTCAAGTACATGATCGAAGGCTTAGAGGGCTCTAATTGCAATGTAAAAAAAAGCAGATTTATTAGTGTTAGTATTAGGAGCTGTTGACAGGGTATGTGTTTGATTATATTAATAAATGGAAGCATTGGGAATGCCTAATGCCAGCGGCTACATTGTGGGTAGGTATGAGCAGTTCTGCAAAACAGGAATAGGTAAAGGGAGAAGTTTAAGTCAAGGAGAGAGAGTAAGATACTAGAAAGGATTTAAAAGATCAAACTGGAGATGAAAGGAAGACTAAAGATGGCAAGATAGTAGGTCAAGCAACCAGGACTGAGCACAGCTTATAGGAAGCCTTTGCTCTCAGCCAGGGAAAATCAAGGTACCAAACAAATGAACTGCTACTACTACTGGCTCATGTAATACGAATCTAGGATATAACATATCCTGTATCCAAAATTGTCTCTCTCTCTCTCTTTTTTTTTTTTTGAGACAGAGTCTCACTCTGTTGCCTGGGCTAGAGTGCCGTGGTGTTAGTCTAGCTCACAAGCAACCTCAAACTCCTGGGCTCAAGCGATCCTCCTGTCTCAGCCTCCTGAGTAGCTGGGGCTACAGGTATACGCCACCATGCCTGGCTAATTTTTTCTATATATTTTTAGCTGTCCAAGTAATTTCTTTCTATTTTTAGTAGAAACAGGATCTCGCTCTTGCTCAGGCTGGTCTGGAACTCCTGAGCTCAAACAATCCAACCGCCTTGGCCTCTCCCAGAGTGCTAGGATTATAGGCGTGAGCCACCACGCCCGGACCCAAAATTGTCTCTCTTAAGGCCGTGCACCTAGCTTACCCATTGGCTTGCTGGGCTGCCAGGTATGAAGTGGAGTAGGAGCTGGCTCCAGCGGAGACATTAGGAGGAGGGTACTGGGGTCAGAGCCTCAGAGGAGCTCAGTTGGCCCCTTCAGCTGTAACTTTAAAGACACTCAAACAATAGCTCTAAGGGCCTCTGCTAGAGTAGCATGATATTTAAATGCCATATGTTCTCAGCTCACAGATCTTCCTATGAGTACCAGAAATACAAAACCACCCTGACCTGTTCATATTCCAACCTTAAGAGCCCTGGATCACACTATGAAGAGAATATCTGTACCTAATGGTTTTGATATAGACTAATCGACAGCCTTCATGAAGAAGAGGTCAAAGTACATAAAATTTGAACCTATTCTTCCATGAAGACTGATTTTGAAGGCCTAGCCAGAGAGCACCTTGGCAGTAGTGATGCAATATTTGAGGGACTAGTTGAAGTCTCACATGCAGAAATTTGATAAGCACAACCATCTAGACAAGATTCTAAATTTTCTTTACTTTTGATTCCACAAGTAGCACCTGCAATTCTTTATTATCTTTTAAAAAATTACTAGTTTTAAATAAATAATCTATAAATATGACAACAAACCACACACTGAAAACTGTTTTCCTCCCACCCCTATGCGTCAGGCTTTAGTTCTCTTTCCAGGAGGCAACTATATTTGACTAGTTTCTTGTGTGTATTTTCCCAAAGGTATTCTATGCATATACATAAATTTTAAATTTGTACATTATTTTTTATAAATTGTAGCATATGCACATATACACATCGTTTTGCACCTTGCTTATTTCACTTAATATGTGCCAATGCCTTCCAGCCAAAGACTAAGGACACACCTCAGTTGAATAAGTTGGGTTTATTGTTCATTGCAGTGGAGGAGAACGCAGACCATGGGGAACTGTGGAGCATCTCAGTGGGAGGGTGTTGGAAAGGATGTGTTACGGGCTTGGGTTAGGTGATTTGGGGGGAAGGTTTTAAGGAAGTGAGAATTTGCTCTGGATTAGAGGCTTTCAGGGCATGGGGGCATTTCTATAATTGTATATCTTAATAAATCTTAAGGCAAAAGAAATGAAACAGCAGTCATTCATATTAGCCAGGATAGAGGAATAGTTGGTCATTTTTGTGGTTTTGATAATGTTCATGTTGTTATCTGTGTTCAGACATGATTACTGAGTAGTCTTGTTTTTGTCTTGATTCATCACAGTCATAGATCTTATCTGGTGTTGATGTTCTGTGAAATGTTCTGTGTTCCACCGGAGAACAATAAGGCCTAGCTGAGAGTGCCAGGCCAGCTTCCAGCATCACCAATTTCTAGGTGAGGGTACCAGGCCAGGTCCCTGCTATCTGGAGCTCCTTTCCTCTTTGTCACATCATATATTAACATTCTCTCCATATAAGTACATAAAGAATGAGACTGGGTGTGGTGGCTTACGCCTGTAATCCTAGCATTTGGGGAGGTTGGGGCAGGAGAATCACTTGAAGCCAGGAGTTGGAGACCAGCCTGAGCAAGAGACAGACCCTGTCTCTAAAAAAAAAAAAAATAGAAAAATTAGCCAGGTGTGGTTTCGTGCACCTATAGTCCCAGCTACTTGGGAGGCTGAGCCAAAAAGATCCCCTGAGCCCAGGAGTTTGAGGCTGCAGTGAGCTATGATGATGCCACTGCACTCTGTCCTGGGAGATGGAGCAAGATCCTGTCTCAAAAAAACAAAAAGAGAGAGAGAGATTTGTTTTATTCTTGTTAATGGCAGCATGATATTCTTTTGTCTGGATGTCATAATATGTTTACTTATTCCCTGAAAGATGAACATTTAGATTGTTTACTTTTCAAACAATGCCACAATGTAACAATAGCATGTTACTTTGTATATGTGCAAGTTTACCTGTAGAATAAATTGCAAAAAGCAAAATTGTTGGGTCAAAGGCTTTGTGCATTTTAAATTTTGTTAGATATTGTCAGGTTGACCTCAAAAGAGGTTGTACCAATGTACTCTTCCCCTAGTAATGCACCAGTTTGCCTGTTAATCTATACCATTGCCAAAGCAATTTATTATTGAACTTTATTTTTGCCATTCTGATAGGTTTAAAAAATTGTATCTTAATTCCCTTTCTACAAAATTAGCTATGTAAGTATTTTAAAAATAGTAATATAGTAAGGGAATGGTGGAATGGTGACAACTTGGTATGCAAATCTTTTTGGAGGACTAAACTGCAGACTATGTCATATATTTTGTTAAAAGTCTATATAAGATGCTGGCCGGGCACAGTGGCTCAGGCCTGTAATCCTAACACTCTGGGAGGCCGAGGCGGGCGGATTGCTCGAGGTCAGGAGTTCCAAACCAGCCTGAGCAAGAGTGAGACCCCGTCTCTACTATAAATAGAAAGAAATTAATTGGCCAACTAATATATAGAGAAAAAATTAGCCGGGCATGGTGGCATATGCTGTAGTCCCAGCTACTCGGGAGGCTGAGGCAGGAGGATTGCTTGAGCCCAGGAGTTTGAGGTTGCTGTGAGCTAGGCTGACGCCACGGCACTCACTCTAGCCTGGGCAACAAAGCGAGACTCTGTCTCAAAAAAAAAAAAAAAAAAAGTCCACATAAGATGCTAAGTGAGAAAAGAAAGATGCTGTGGCAGATTGAGGAGTGTTTCTCCCATTTAATTTGTAGTGTAGTCTTTAACTTGGCCATCTCTTATCACTGGAAAGTAGCAGTTTTTCTAATAATTGTCTTTCCTGAGTACTGGCAGGGAGGCTAAGTCCTGTCTAGTCCAACAGAGAGTCAGGAGGACTCAGTTGCTCTCTCTCCTTTAAAGTTCTATAAAGGGTAATGTTAATACCTGTCTGCCTGCCTGCAGCTATTATTGGCCCTACCATCACCTAGGAGACATTCCAAGGACCCAAATTTACCTGTTGCAGATGGAGGGCTCCATTACAGATGTGTAGGATCTGAGGTATGGAAGATGTTTTGAAAGAATATTTATTAGACATTTATTTAGTATCTGTTCTATGTCAGGCATTGTTTAAGTGCTGATGTTTCAGTGGTAAACATAACAAAGCCCCTGCCTTCAGGAATCTTTCTAGACAATAAACAAATATATGAGAAAGAAAAAAGCATCCCTGACAACTGTCAACTAGTAACTGGCCTGGGTACAGTGGCATTCTCTTATTGAACATAAACAATTTTATAAAATATCAACATCAGACAAGGGCTGTGCATGACTGATGGATCATCTTCACTCATAATCATGCCTGAACAGCAATAAAGACACTCTGCAACCACAAAAATTACCATACATCTCTCTCTCCTGACTGACATCAGTAAGTATTGCTTTGCCCCTTCATAAAAATTAAGATACCCGGCTGGGTATGGTGGCTCACGCCTGTAATCCTAGCACTCTGGGAGGCCTAAGTGGATGAATTGCTTGAGCTCAGGAGTTCAAGACCAGCCTGAGCAAGAGTGACACCCCATCTCTACTATAAATAGAAAGAAATTAGCCAAACAACTAAAAATAGGAAAAAAATTAGCCAGGCATGGTGGCGCATGCCTGTAGTCCTAGCTACTCAGGAGGCTGAGGCAGAGGATGGCTTGAGCACAGGAGTTTGAAGTTGCTGTGAGCTATGCTGATGCCATGGCACTCTAGCCTGGGCCACAGAGTAAGACTTTGTCTCTAAACAAAAAAACAAAAAAAAACATACCGAATTGCCCCAGCTTTCTGAAAGCACCCAATCCAGAATAGGTAAAAGAGTAGAGAGAAGAGGGAGTGCTTACTACCTGAGATAACACTAAAAGAAGGCCTTCTACAGAGGTGTCATTTGAGCAGAGGCCCTGAGGAAGTATGGAAGGGAGGATTTGGATATCCAGAGTAGAGGGAATAGCAAGTGCACTGGCCTCTGGGGCAGCCTTGGAGTGTTTTACAAACAATAAAGAGGCCAATTTGGTTTAAGAGTGAGCAAGGGAGGCTGGGCACAGTGGCTCATGCCTGTAATCCCTGTACTTTGGGAGGCTGAGGTGGGAGGACCACTTGAGACCAGGAGTTTGAGACTAGCCTAGGCAACATAGACCCAATCTGTACAAAAAATTAAAAAAATTAACCGAGCATGGTGGCATATGCCTATAGCCCCAGGTACTCGGAAGGCTGAGTCAGGAGGATTGCTTGAGCCCAGGAGTTTGAGGTTGCAGTGAGCTAGATGATGCCACCTTATGCTAGCTTGGGCAACAGAGTGTTGCTTGGGCAACAACAACAAAAAAAAAAACAATAAGCAAGGAGAAGAGTGATTGGAAATGAACTGGGCTCCAGTCATACAGGCCTTGATGGTCCTGGCAAAAACTAGATTTTGTTTCAAGTGCCATAGGAAGCCATTCGGGGATTTGGGTTTTGTGTAGAAGAGTGACTCAAATCCCCATCCCCCATCTGCATTCTAGCCAGAGTGACACTATGCTTAAGGAAGGCAGAGAAGACCTCCTCTACCCAGCTCTTCCTGTGAGGGGGCAACTTGCCTGGCCCTGGAGGCTGTTATCCTATCAAGCTCTTCTGGGACTTTTGTCAGGAGCGTGGAGGAATTGAAGGATGCACAGGGAAATGGAAGCTGCAGCCTAGCCGACGGAAAATGCAACATTATCTTAGAAATAGTGCAGTGGAACAAGGCAGCGCTGGGTATAATAGGAAGTAGGATTTTTAACTTGTCTTCACCTAAATAAAAAAACTTCATAGTTCAACAAACTAGAATTTTGAGAACCTTGTTTTTGGTTCAGAGGTCGGCCTTTGCACTAGCCCGGACAACAGAGTGAGAACCTGTCTCAAAAAAAAAGAACAAAAAGAGTAAGCAAGGGGTAGAGTTCAAGAGGCCAGTGCACTTGGATATGGAAATACCCCCTTAGGCACCTTTGTTCCGGGCCTCTGCTCAAATGCTACCTTTGCAGGTGGGCTCCAGCAGAGGGTGCTACAAACCTCCAGCAGCCTGTGTGTCTTTGTCACTTAGGCACAGAATGACCTATGGAAGTTACTGCTTTGAACACAGTGTGTACATCAGAATCACCTGGCTCATTAAAACACATTGCTAGACCCTACCTCCTGAGTTTGAAAATGTGGGAGGAATTTTTATTTCTAACAGGTTCCCAGGTCATGCTGAGGCTCGCAGTCAGCTTGGTTCTTTATCAGAATGTGATCAGAATCCCCTGAAGAGCCTTTCAACACACCCACAAGTTGAGGCAGCATCTCCTAAGGGCATTTCAGAATGGGGTGGAGTGAGAATGCTGGTATTTCCCTTAGGCTGTTGTGAAGTACTGTACTCTATAAATTGCAAAACTCCACCCGAGTGATTACTGCAAGCATCTTGCTTCGTTTTTTAATTTCCCCATTCCATCTTTTCATTTTGGTTTCCAACTGTACATTTTTAGTGTGTAGAAATACAATTGAGTTTTGGATGTTGACCTTTTATCCTGTGATACTGCCAGACTCATTGTTTAATTCTGGGAGTTCTTTTGCAGATTCCTTAGGATTTTTGATACAGTCATACACAATCACAGCATCTATGAATAGGGACAGTTTTATCCTTCCCCCATTCCATCTTGAACTCTTGTTTCTCTGGTGGCCAGAACTAGATCTGCTGACCCCAATCTGTCATGATATTCAGGAGCAGAAATGCACCAGTTCACAAAATAATTTGACAGTATTCTGAATCCTAGCAAAGACCACTACGGGCAATCAGGGGAAAAACATTTCAAGTGATGATAAGGCTGTTGGCTCTGAGATGAGAACAATCTAGCCTTGATGAAATACTTTGTCCTCATCCACCAGAGCTAGAGTAGAAACCCCCCACCTTCTCATGGTGGGAAGGTTAGGCTCTAGTCAGGAGTGGAAAGAGCCTAGCCTTGAGCACAGTCCTGCCAATCTGAGCCAGAGTTCGTGAGTGGTCAGGTGTCTGCGTTGTGGCATCCCAGCAGACTTTTGGGTTAAGCCTTGTTTAGAACAGGGCTTGCCAGAGGTGGAGGTAATCCTCAGCCCATTGAATCGGTCGGGATTGGTAGCTGCATTGTCTTGGAGGGCTCTAAAAGGAAAGCAACAGATTAGCTTCTAATCTAGGCAGGAGGGGAGAGTTAATTTGCCTTTTCTGGGCAGCAGTGAAATGGGGGTAAATGGCATCTGGCGAGGGGAGTGTGGGGTCAATGTAATATGTTGTGTCCTCTCTCCCTACACATTACTGGGTGTCTTCATAGATAGGCACTGGGAGCACCACCTCCCTTGGCCCTCCCTTTGGCAAGGCCATGTTCCTGGGAACTAACTAGTTTATGGGGTCAGTTCACTAAGCAGCTCCCATTTACACAGCTTCATGCTTCTGCTTCTAAACTAGCTATTCTCAAGGAAAATATCAGCATGCTGTTGGCCTCCCACTCTGGACTCAACCCCTCATGCCCTGCAATCCTTCCTGTTAGGAAAACCATTTAAAATAGAAATGGCTGCTGACCTCAACTATCACACTGTAATAGGGCTTGGCTTACACGGGGAAGTCCTGGGTTCTGTCTCCTGGTCATTATGTAATGGGACCGTGTGTGAGTTCAGGCAAGTCACCAAACCACTCTGTCTCAATTTCCTCCTTTGATATAACGGATGGTAATATTTGGAAGGCAGGAGGACAGAGTAGTTTAAGGACATGGACTCTGAAGCCAAGTGCCTGGATTCAAATCTTGCCTCCTCCATTTATTAGCTATATAACCTTGGGAAGTTACTTAACCTCTCTCTCTCAGTTTTGAGGTGGGAATCATACTTACCTTCATAGAGTTATTATGAGAATTAATGAGTTAATACTTACAAAAAATGTAAAACAGCTGGCACATCATAAGTGTTATATATTATTACCATATTATAAGTATCTTCTGAGTTCATAATGTAAAAGCACTTCGAAAAGTGATATCCACCCTGTAACTTGCCTTATTATTATCAAAGGTATTTAATAGTGGGGTCAGTTACACCTAACCTGCAGAGTAAGTGGGCTTTTTTGAATGTCACCTTCCCAAATCTCTGATAAGCTGCCCATGCCTGGGTGATTTCTCTGCCCACAGATCTCGACCCTGGTCCCCAGTTATTTATTCAGAGCCTGTAGATGCTGAATTTAGGATTAAGAACTGAAGACATCACATTCCCAGGGAATGGCTTAACCACCTCTGCAGGAAGGAGATGGGTAGGGAGGCCTTAATAGGCAGCAGGATAAGGACAGTGCCCTGGCATGGGCCAGAGACCTGAGAGGGAATTATGAGAAACCTGGCTCTTGTGCCAACCTTCTGGGGAACTGGAGGATAGTCCCTCTAGGCCCCAGTTTCCCCGTCTCTACAAGAGGAACAAAAGTCCCTGTTCTCACTTCGCATGATGCTTGAAAGAAGACAGTGAGTTAATATGAAATAGATCCCAGATATAAAAAAAGAAAAGGTATCACTGGAGTTTAAGGTTATATTAATACTATCACTTGGTTAATTACCATACCTGAACCAAGGCTCCCTGAAAAGCGAGCTTTATTGCAGAGTCAGAATGTATGAGCAAGCAGTGTGTACTCTTTTGATAGAAGGCTCTCTTGCTGGCACTGACTTTTGCCCTGTCAAGCCTTTTCTGCTAAATTGTCCTCTGCTAAACTGTACTCATTGAAGGCTTTGGTTGAGACTGTAGAAATTTGACTGGCCACCCTGCCCCTCAGTTTTTCCAGTGTCCTGTGGTCTGCATGGTCAGGAGCCCAAGAAAGACATTTTTTGCTTTTCAGCCCTGTTGCATTCACCCCACATCATACAGGAGTTTTTGCAGTGGGCACCAAGTCCTCTGTGGTAGGGCTGCGTGCTCTTTTGCAATGTGACTTCACCACTCCTTCCATCAAGAGATGAAGTCTGTTTCCTCAACCATGGTAAGGACTATCCTTGTGGCTTGCTTTGACTAATAAAACTTGGTGGAAGCGATGTCATGTGACTCATCACATCAAGAGGCCTTGCAGCTTTCACTTTCATCCTCTTGGGATGTTGGCCTGAAACTGCCATGCCATGAAGGAGCTTGGGATAAAACATCTTGTAAGAAGAAAGAAGCCTAGCTGAGCCCAGTCCTGATGTAGTTGCATGAGTAAGCCAAGTAGAGACCAGAAGAACTGTCCAGTCAATGCTCAGCATCATAGATGTCTTCTGTCATCAACTGTTTTCTGCCACTAAGTTTTCGTATGCTTGGTTAGGTGGCAAAAGATAACAGGTACACCTAACATTTTATTCCTAAGGCCTCCTGTACCTTGAAAAGCCTGGCTCTACTGCATTAAGAGGTCAGAGTATGTTTTTCTAGTCTTCTTAGCTAATATCCTGTTCCACACTGTCTTGAAGTCTGACATTTTTTTTTTCATTGATACTTGCTATTTTATTTAGTCATCTTGTTAGGAACAAAAGGTAAAGAATTCACAAATGCCACCAATTAAGCACATGTTTTAAATTAAACATCAGTCTTCAGCTTGCAAAATAATTTCTTTGTAATTAAGCAAATAGCAGCGGAAGACCCATATCAGTTGCTTCTTTCTTCCTAGAGAAGTTGGCAGGATAACTGCATCTTAGGGGTTTCTCTGTGTTGATTCTTCTTTGGATTTCTCTGAGTTCAGAATTTTGTTTTCCATTTGAGATGAATGCAAAAGCAGCTAAAGGTCAAGGAAAATGTTCTTCCTGTGATAAGGAACCTTTGCTTTCGTGTAGATGACCACTTGCGTAAAAAGGTCAAGGAAAGGCCGGGCCCGGTGGCTCATGCCTGTAATCCTAGCACTCTGGGAGGCCAAGGCGGGAGACCCCGTCTCTACTAAAAATAGAAAGAAATTACTTGGACAGCTAAAAATATATATAAAAAGTTAGCCAGGCATGGTGGTGCATGCCTGTAGTCCCAGCTACTCGGGAGGCTAAGACAGGAGGATCGCTTGAGTCCAGGAGTTTGAGGTTGCTGTGAGCTAGGCTGATACTATGGCACTCTCGCTTGGGCAACAGAGTAAGATTCCATCTCAAAAAAAAAAAAAAAGTCAAGGAAAATGTTCTTCCTGTGATAAGGAACCTTTGCTTTGTAGATGACCACTCCCGTGCATAAGGAAGGGAAGAAGAATGTTCCTTTCCTTTGCCCTGTATCTTCTTTCTTATCTTGGATAAGATGGAAAAACTACTCCCAGTTTATTTTAGCAAATGCACTTGGCCACCAAAGGTCAGCCCACCCCAGCCCAGGAGCCAGCTGCCACTGGGGGCCTCCCTCCACCAAGTTCACTCTTCCCTGAAATCTGTTCTCACATGGCTGGTCTTGATTCTGAGGCCGTAGGATGTTAAATGCAATCTCACTGGTGCATTCTCACTTGGCTTTGCCTGAAATTAAGTGGGCCAACACATTATGATTTAAAAATTGTTTAAATTAAGGAATCACAATTTTAGACTTCTGCCTGTGGCCAAGGTGGAGTAACAGGGCCTAGATTTACTCTTATAGCTCATCAATGCCCCCGAATTTGTCACCGAGGCCCTAAATATGATATTCCAGATGTGATGTGGGCCCAGTACTGAGGACAGCCAACCCATGTTCCCCTTTGATCTGGACTGGGGAGATAGGTGATGATATGGCTGAGCATGGGGGCTAAGCCACAGGGGAGCATATATGTCTATCATTTTATACTTATAATTTCATGAAGGAGGTAGAACTTGAGCAGGCACTGCCTTTAGTATGTTCCAGTCTGGCCTTAGCTGACCTCTCCAGCATGGTCTTGTTAAGTAGCCTCCCCTACTATCTCATCCATTGTAATGCCCATTCTTGCCTTGTTATTTGCAGTTTGCTGAACATGCCATGCAGTAGCATGCCTGAGCATGTTTCCTTCATGTCCTTTCCCCTCCTTGTCTGCCTGACAAACACATCCTCCATTTTGAAGAGTCCATCTAACTCTGAGGCCTTCATGATGCTCCCATGGGAGACTGCCTCCTTGCAGCACTTTGTAATACTTGTTCATCTTGGTTTCCCCTTCTAGACTGTGGATCGTTGGTTATTAATTAGTCCCCAGCACAGTGTCTAACACCTACTAGTTGCTTAATAAACATTTGTAGAAGGGAGGGAAAGAAGAAGGAATGTGGGTCACGAAATCTGAAAGAATAGGGATGCCCCCCCCAGGCCGGAAGATAGCCCATGTGAAAGCTGAGTGATCCTTTTGAGTGATGGCTACAACGATTTTTGATTTCATGCTAACAGACCCATTGAGGCATTAATTGACAGATTAATTGACTTAACTAATTTCTAGCAAATGGCAAGTCGAATAGTTTATACCATTTATAAACATAGGATTTGTTTACCTAAAATACCATGATGTTAAACAAAAGCAAGTATCCTTAAACACCTGATAAACAACCCTTCCCATATAAACAATGGATGGAGTGAATTAGAAAATATTCTTATCTGTTCATTAAAACAAATTTCCCTTAACAACTATACTGAGAAGCAATTTATTAGCATAGTTCCACTAGATTCCTAAAGGTAGTAAAACTGAATCTTTCAATATACTTTATAATTCAGTCAAACCAACTCTTGTCAGCTGAACCTACTTATTCTGAATTAATACACTTGAAGTTCTTGGCACTGCAGAGAGCAGAGTGATTCATCCAAATTGTGTGTCTTTATAGCTTGTCTCATAAAAGTGCTGGAAACACAGAGAAGTTGATGTTGTTTTGGAGGAGGTTGGGAGGCATCCCTATACATTTTGGATGCAACATTTGAGCCTCTTGAGCTTGGTGGCTTTCTACTTGTAGAGGAGCTATGGCAGCAGCCCTGACTCTCAACAGGCACCCCTTCCATCTTCTCCCCCTTCAAAAACACCCCAAAACATAGGCCTGGCGCCGTGGCTAACACCTGTAATCCTAGCACTCTGGGAGGCCGAGGCGGGCAGATGGCTCGAGGTCAGGAGTTTGAAACCCCAAAACAACCACCTCAAAAGCCCACATCTATATACATACACATAGAACTTTCTTGTCACATGAGGAAAGGCAGAGACTGGTCATGGAGGATCATCCTGTTAGAACAGAAGAGGGTTAGGTGGAGGAGGAAACCTTGCTACACATGAGCACATTTGCCTATTAGGAGAGCGAGGAGAGCATCAGTGCTAGGCTGTGCCCCCCAAACAGGACCTTAGGCATTTCTTCCAGCTGTGAGTCTTCTACTCTTTGATAAACTTTCCTGGAGCTGTAGTTTCAAGAACTAATGAGACTTTGGGAAGAGCTGAGGTAAGTGTGAAAATAGCCACCCGTGCTATCAGAAAGCAATGTTGGACTCCTGGGATGGGGCACAGCCCTTAACTGAGCCTCCCTAGGGGCTGGGCCACAGCTGGGTACATAGTTCTCAGAATCACAGTAGCTTCCTTGAGCTTGGGTGTGAGGCTTTCACTGCTATTATAAAATAGCCCTTCCAGGTTGTACTGAACAGGGCTTAAAGAGCTCCACTTCTGTGAAGGGGCCCCGAGCACACCTGTGGTCTTCCCGGCCCTCTGCTAGGCAGTTATTTCCGAACTCACAGTTCTTTTATATATTTTATATATTCAATATGTACATATATACATAGATTTTTTTAAATTTTTATTTCAAGAATATGAGAGTACAAACATTTAGGTTGCATTTTATGTCTTTGCCTCTCCCTAGCAAGGGTTAGAGGTATGCCCCTCCTCTCCACAATGCTCACCGCACCCCTCAGATGTGGGTCTACCCCCCCAACCCCCGAATCCCTGGTGAATACCACCACCATTTGAGCACCATAGTGTTAAATCAGTACCAATTTGATGGCGATATACATAGATTTTATATTTTATATGTGTATTATATATTTTGTATATTTACATTTCCCATACCGTTGGCGGAGGCTGCCTTCTTCTCCTGATGGGCTCTTCTGCCCCTCTTCTCTGAGATGCCCTTTTCCTTATGCAAATGGCCATTTTTTCCCCACTCAATATAGCAGCTATTTCTTGGCCCACTATGAATAAGACCTGTATTTCAGGCCCTTCAGGGGTGTTAAAGAAGATGAATGTCACACTGACTAGCCACAGAAGTTTACAGTCTAATAGGGAAAAGTAGAAACAAAAACCCCAAATGATATAAGCAATCATCATCATTTTGCTCATTGAGCACCTTCTCTGTGCTCAGTGCTTTAACATTTCAGTTAATCCTTGTAGGCCTTGCAAGATAGTGGTATCATCCCTCATTTTTTTTTTTTTGGACAGAGTCTCTGTTGCCCGGGCTAGAGTGCCGTGGTGTCAGCCTAGCTCACAGCAACCTCAAACTCCTGGGCTCAAGCAATCCTTCTGCCTCAGCCTCCCAAGTAGCTGGAACTACAAGCATGCACCACCATGCCCGGCTAATTTTTTCTATATATTTTTAGTTGTCCAATTACTTTCTTTCTATTTATAGTAGAGACGGGGTCTCGCTCTTGCTCAGGCTGGTTTCCAACTCCTGACCTTGAGCAATCCTCCCACCTTGACCTCCCAGAGTGCTAGGATTACAGGCGTGAGCCACCGGCGCCCGGCCTCATCTCTCATTTTATAGCTTGTTGAGGAACTCCCTTAAGGTTGTACTGCTAGTAAGCAACAAGAGTTGGGATTCGACCTGAGTCCCTGTCTTCCAGAATCCACGGGCTTCCCTACTGCACTGGGAGGCTTCTCCATGTACAACATAAAAAGCAGGTGCCATAAAATGACAAGGTGCTCCTGGAGGAGCTGGATCTGGAAGGATTTTCTGAACACATTTGAGGTAGGTGTGCTAGTGCAGGTCCCCTGAGTAGCAGATGCCAAATGGAATGAGATGTGCAAGAGATTTACAGAGGGATATGCCTATAAAGGGCAAAGGAGAAAAAGCAGGAGGAAGGAGGGAAGGTATACATGGTGGGAAGGGGCTCAGATGGCAATACAGTTCTAAGTAACTTCAGCCAGGACAAAGCATTGTCCTCAAGCTAAAGCTGCCTGTTAGGGGAGTCGGTGTTTTCAAGGGATGGACCTGCATTATACCTGCCATACTCGGTCATCAACTGGGAGCGGCCTGCGTGGCGTCAGTGGATCTACAGCACAGCGGCTGGGGCAGTCAGCCCACTGCTCCTCACAGCAGATCTGAACAGTGCATATCTGTGGTTGCCACAATAGGCCCAGAAGAACTGGTTAGATTTCAGGGCTGGCTACATTGGGAATGCTATTTAAGACGGCATACTTTCTATGGAACACTAGTCTCTCAAGATCCTTCCTGAAAGAACTGGGGCCACATTGCCTTCTCTCAGACATTTATCATGCACAGTAGTGGGACTCTGAGAAGTTCTACTTAAAGAAATAGGTTGGCTGGGTGCAATGGCTCGCACCTGTAATGCTAGCACTCTGGGAGGCCAAGGCAGGAGGATTGCTCGGGAGTTCAAGACCAGCCTGAGCAAGAGCAAGACCCTGTCTCTACTAAAAATAGAAAAATTAGCCGGATGTGGTGGTATGTGCCTATAGGTCTAGCTACGTGGGAGGCTGAGGCAGGAGGATCGCTTGTGCCCAGGAGTTTGAGGTTGTAGTGAGCTATGATGATACCACTGCACTCTACCTAGAGTGACAGAGTGACTGTCTCAAAACAGAAAAAAATGGGTTAATCTTGGTTTAATACAATGGCTTTCCAACTTATTTGATCACAGAGCTTTTTCTGTGTATGTAAATTCTATTAATTTCCTTTCTAATTAGTATTCAGCTAGCTGCGCTGGCTTAGAAAGTTAGGTTTAGG